GTGTAGTTCTGTTCTTCCTGACCAGGGATGACAAAAGTAACATCGGCCTTGGGCCCTAGCCTTCTCTCCCGCCACCTCCTCTGGACCAAGATGGTGGCCTGTCTCAGAGCCAGGAACTTCTTTCTCTCAGCTCGAGCCCTCCAAGTTCTCTGGATGAGAATACAGCTCTCCCTCAACTTCAAGAAACGTTGCCTCTCATGGGACATCTTCAAGAAGGCCTTGATCTTGGAAGAGGCCTGGGAGATGTTGAGCAGCTTGCGAGCGAGCAGATGCTGTCTGCAGGCCTGCTGGAAGGCCAGGAGGGAGCTCCTCCATCTGAGGTACTTGTTCCTCTGGACAGCCCCTCTGTACCAAGCCTGGATGGTGATTGCAGCTGTCTTCATTTGTAGGAATCTACGCCGCTCCTCTCTGCCTTTTAAATAAGCTGTCAACCTGGTCTGGATTACAATAATGGCTAACTCTCTTTGTTGTTGATGGAATGCCCTTCTTTCCTCCAGTTGTTGCTGGTAGAGTCTCCGCTGTGCCCTTCCAGCCATCTTGGCTTTGAATCGTTGTTGAATGATGATGACTGCTCTCTTCATTGCGAGATAGTTCTGTCTTGCCTTGTAGCACCAGTAGAAAGCTTGTATTTTGGTTGCTGAGGCATTCTGCTTGATCCAAAGTTCTCTAGCAGCTCTTAACGTGACATATATTTTCCTAGCTTGATAACCCCTGAACAAGCTTTGTATTTTGGTTGCTGCGCAGTTCTGCTTAATCTCTATATGCGTGGCATCTTTCAATCGCATAAGCTCTTTCTTTGCTAAATAGCACCTATAGGCAGATTGGATTATGGTTGCTGCATTGATCCTTTGCCGTTTATTTTCTTTCAACAGTTCTAGCAGTTTCCTTGCTAAATAGCACTTGAACAGGTTTTGTATTTTGGTTGCTGCGCAGTTCTGTCTGAACTCCAGGAATTTGGCAGTTTTCAATAGAGAAAGTTCAGTTTTAGCTTGGTGGCATCTATAGGCCGTTTGTATCTTGATTATGGATTCTCTTATCTGAAGGAAGACCTTACGTTGAGAATAGGCCCTGTAACTGCTTTGGATGATAACAGCAGCATTTCTCATTTTGAGGTAGTGAGATCTCATTCTCCAAGCTCTAAACTGAGATTGGATTTTGATGGCAGATGCCTTGGTCTGGAGGTAAAGTGCTCGTTGCTTCCTGCCTGCTGTCACTGCGCGGTATCTGGTCTGGATGATGAGGCTGGCTTCCTTCAGCTTCAAGTATTCTCCCCTGGCTCTGTGGGAGAGGTAGAATGCCCGAAGCCTGGTAGCAGCCTGCTTCTGCAGAAGAAACTGTTTCCTCTGAGCTCTGGCAAGGAAGAGTTCCCTGACTCTGCGCTGTATTGTGATGGCAGCATTTATTTGCTTTAAATATGAGCATCGTGCATGTCTTGCTCTATACCAGGATTGAATGGCTATTGCCGCTTTCTTCTTTTTCTGGAAAGTGGTTCTGGCCAACCTACCTCTGTACCAAGTTTGGATCTTAACAGCGGCACTCTTCATTTTGGAAAAGAGCCTTCTCTGTTTGGAAGCCCTAACGTTTTTCTGTAGAATTAGGGTGGATTTCTTGAGGTCCTGGTACCTCCTGCGGACAATCCATCCTCTCCAGAGAGACTGCAGGAATACAACTTTACTGGCCATTGAAGTATATTTTTTTCTGGCCTTCCAACCTCTGTACAAAGCTTGAATCCTAATGGCTGAATGTCGCATGAGTAAGAATAATTGTTTTTGCTTCTTTCCCAGCAGGTATGCCCTGACATGAACCTGAATGGTCAAAGTGGCTTCCTTTATCTTATAAAACATTCTCCTAGCAGCCCATCCTCTGTAGGCACTTTGTAACACTGTGGCAGCCATTTTTAACCTTTGATACCTCCTCCTTTGTAGGTAACCTCGAGTGTAGGTCTGAAGAGTGAGGATGGCTGCTTTTTTCTGTTGGTAGGACTTTCGAATTTGAAGGCCTTTGTAGGAAGCTTGAATGGCAATAACAGACTTCAAAATCTGAAGGTATCTATTCCTATCTTGTCTTTGCATCAGGAGAGCAGATCTTCTTTCTGTCACCACCTTGGCTGCCCACTTGAGTCGTGCAAATGCAGTTCTTGCAGCATGCATCCTGTAGGTGCTCTGGAGCTTTATGGCTGCTTGCTTCATCTTCTGGAAGTGGAGTCTCTGCTGGCGCCCTCTCCACAACTTCTGCAGGGTGATGGAAGCTTCTTTCATCTGGAGATATTGCATACGGCAGTATTTTGCCTGCATCAACGCTCGGAATCGAGTCTGTATAAGAATGGCTGCATATTTCAGTTTTAAATAGTGCTTCCTGGCTAGGTAGCCCCGGACATGCTGTTGGATAACAATAGCTGCATTCCTTTGTTTTAAATAATTCTTCCTGGCTAGGTAGCCCCGGACATGCTGTTGGATAACAATGGCTGCATTCCTTTGTTTTAAATAATTCTTCCTGGCTAGGTAGCCCCGGACATGCTGTTGGATAACAATGGCTGCATTCTTTTGTTTTAAATAATTCTTCCTGGCTAGGTAGCCCCGGACATGCTGTTGGATAACAATGGCTGCATTCCTTTGTTTTAAATAATTCTTCCTGGCTAGGTAGCCCCGGACATGCTGTTGGATAACAATGGCTGCATTCCTTTGTTTTAAATAATTCTTCCTGGCTAGGTAGCCCTGGACATGCTGTTGAATAACAATGGCTGCATTCCTTTGTTTTAAATAATTCTTCCTGGCTAGGTAGCCCCGGACATGCTGTTGGATAACAATTGCAGCCTTCCATTGTTTTAAATAGTTCTTCCTGGCTAGGTAGCCCCGGACATGCTGTTGGATAACAATGGCTGCATTCCTTTGTTTTAAGTAGTTCTTCCTGGCCAGGTAGCCTCGTACACTATGTTGAATAACAATTGCAGCCTTCCTTTGTTGCAGGTAGTTCTTCCTGGCTAGGTAGCCCCGGACATGCTGTTGAATAACAATGGCTGCATTCCTTTGTTTTAAGTAGTTCTTCCTGGCCAGGTAGCCTCGGACTCTATGTTGAATAACAATCGCAGCCTTCCTTTGTTGCAGGTAGTTCTTCCTGGCTAGGTAGCCCCGGACACTATGTTGAATAACAATCGCAGCCTTCCTTTCTTGCAGGTAGTTCTTTCTAGCCAAGTAGCCTCTAAAGTTCTGCTGAATTAGAACCGCAGCACTTTTTATCCGGAGAAAGGAATGGCGCTCTGTCCGGCAGATTAAAGTTTCTCTCCACCTCTTCTGGATGATGATGGCAGCTTTACAAATTGCTGCCAACCTCTTCCGCTCCTGATAGCCCCTCCAGGCAGCTTGAATAACAATAGTTTTAGAGCGTAGGGACAGGTAAGACTTTCTAGCTCTTTGACTTCTGTACCAAGTCTGGATGATCAGTGCAGATTTCTTTGCATTTGCCAAATCTTCCTTGTACTTCTGGATCAATTTTACTGATCTGAACCATCCCTGGATTTTTATTACTGCCATTCTTTGTTGCAAAAAAGATCTCCTGGCAAAATAGCCTCTGATGGTGGCTTGTGCTATGATGACATTTTTACGAAAGGTCAAGTATCTTTTCCTGAGTAGACAAGTCTGATACCATCTTTGAATGATTTGTGCAGCAGCTGTTCTTCTGCGAGTGTCCAGGATGTGCCTGTACCATCTCTGGAGTTGGATGATGGCCTGGCGCTGATGGTAATACCGCTGCCTCTCCTTCCAGCCACGGTAGAAAGCCTGGATCTTGACAATCGCTGCAATCTTCAGTCTCAGGAGCTTCCTGGCCCTGTAGCCCCTGTAGAAAGCCTGCAAGCAACCCTGGTGTTAATTCACAACTCATTCCTCCTATTGTGCTGGGGACACATCCTCAATTCCTTCTTCCTCTAGTGACATACAGCAGTAGCCACTTACATATCAGTGGAACTAGCTGGATAATCAAAACTTACTCCCAATTAATCAAAGTAAGTTAAGTTTGTATTTGACTTTTTGAGATTTAAGAGAGTTCTGTACTTAAATACACACTCGTTTAACTAACATTACCGGGTTGCTGTATAACGAGGAAGATGAAAACTACCATTCACAGAATTATACCTTTCAAAGAACAGAGAGAAGCCTGTGTTAAATAATAGCCTAATGTTAACTGAGAGAGGAAGTTGTCCCATTATTGAGAGTGAACTCTGTAGATTTGAACCTTGTGGAATAAACAAACTCAGACAAACAAAGACAGTACATCTGAGACTGCCATTTACTAATATTTTTAGGTAATAAAATGAATATAGGGTCTGGTTCTAGGAAACTTCGACTCCATCCACCCTGACTTTATGACAACCCTGTAAATAAATGGCTTGATAAAATATTCATAAATACATTCTGATTGAGACCATCTTTAGAATCCCTGCCTGTGCTTACCTGAATAATCACCCAAGCAAAAATTATTTTTTTTTTGCTTATCCCTAGTACACGTGGTAGAGGCCATGATAATCATGGTGGGTAGAAGTAGGCGACTGCTTTGACTGTAAGTGCACCACATATCTACATATGAGGAAAGCAGTTCGACTTTGCACTTACAAATGTGCCAGAGCTCCGAAGTAAAAATTACTGCCAGTGAGTTGCTGAAATAAATCAGAGTCAACAGCACTTACCTGGATGGTGATTGAAGCTTTTTGTTGCTTGAGGAATCTCCTGACGCAGTAGCCTCGCCACACTTTCTGCAAAATTAGAGCTGCTGCTTGTCTGCGCTGTTCTCTACGCCGTTCAAGAAATTGACGGACTCTACGCTGGATTATAATGGCAGCTAAAGTTTTGGCCTGCGTCACACACAATCAACGTGAATAATGAAAAGACTCAATTTGGTTTACAATAAGGACATTAAAATATACAAGTATCAGAGTCATCAATCAATTCTGTCATCGTTTGCTTTTGTGAATGGAATAAATACCCAAATATGGCCATTTCTTATGAGCATCGGTGGTTCAGTGGTAGAATGCTCGCCTGTCACGCCCGGGTTCGATTCCCGGCCGATGCATTTTTTTTTTTTTTTTTTACAATTTTTAAAACTGATTTATATTATAATTAAAAAACACCGGATATGGAGCACAGGGATACGACGACCATAGAAGAGATCCAGGAGAACGACCTAGAGCAGATGACAGGAGACCTGACAGACAAGAATGTATCAAGGCCAGGGGACCATCTTATCGAGGAGCCACTAGTAGAGGCCATAGAAAGACTGCTGGAGAGCTGCAGGACATCAGAGGACCATAACGGCAAGGGCCACAGCACTGACCAGGAGTCAAGATAGCAAATGTAAATAAAAATATGTAAATAGACTGACCATTCGCTACACTTTTTAGAGAAAAACTTGTAACCTTTTTGAAAAATAAATTATTATTATTAAAATATACAAGTATTAGAGTCATCAATTCTGTCATCGTTTGCTTTTGTGAATGTATGTAAATAATGGATTTCATATTTTTTATTAATTTTTGTTCTGGCCTTTATTTGTTTAAATATCTTTTTAGAAATTGTTTAAAATGTGTGTGTGTGTGTGACAATGACAATTGAAAATAGTTTATTGTCTTCTAGACAATGTTACATCTCAACCAGGAGGGTGAAAAAGAAATATTTACATTTGACAGTTGTCAGGAATCAAGGCATCGCCGCCTAAGACTGGCCAAATCGGAGCTAACATCGGGATGGTTGCCCCGAGCCGGTTCTATGGCCGCGCTGAGGAACTCAGCGAGGACTCCCCTCATCGCAGGTGTCAGTCTCGCCATGAGGGACTCTCTTTCATCGATGAAGAGAATGGCATCCTTGAGGTCATTCGGTTGGATCCCTGATTGATATAAGGGCCTTAGGCAGGTTAAGTGCTTCAGTTTCTTGAGGATTTCAATAACCATACACTCCTCCCTCATGATCGGCGTCATCTCCTCCTCGTCGGGAGCAGGTGGTATCAGCCCGGCAGGCTGAGGCGCAGGCAGTGGGAGTGTTGAAATCACTGCGGCTGGTGAGGATGCAGAGGTCTCCTCTGTGGTGATCATGTCGTCATCTGGTGTATGGGTTGCAGGCCCGAGGGTCCCTTGCGCAGGCAGAGGGCCACACGGGGTAGTGAAGTCCGGCCGGGCGGGAGGCGTCGGCTCAGTCGCCGCCGAGCGAGGGCTCGCGGGGTGCTCGGGTGCAGGGGCCTCTGGTGGAGGGGCAGGAGCCGCCACATGCACAGATGAGGCCGGAGGCGCTGGTGTAGTCGGCCGGGGCGCCGTAGAAGGTGGGGAGACAGCTCGGGCATCTGGTTGAGCGCCGGAGAGCCTGATAGCTGGGCTGGTAGGCGCCGGCAGAGTTGGCGCGGCCGGAGACGGTCCAGGCAGCCCAGGTGCGGTCTATGGTGGAAGGCCGGTGGTAGAGGGCGGTGAGGCTCGTCTGGAGGTGGTGGACTGCCCATGGAGGAGGGGGCAGCTGGCTCTCCTATGTCCCTGTCCGTGGCATCTTGAGCATTTGATGCCATAGGTGATATAAGCCGGCCAGGCCTCACCCATGATTTTGATATCGAAGCGGGTGGGCAGCTTCTCGACGGTTATGCCGTCATGGAGGAGGATAAAGGCCTCCCGGCGGCCGTCTGTAAAGTCGAATTCGCCCACTTTAAGTTGTTTGGGGGCGATGGAGGTCACACGCCCAAAGCGTGCAAGGGCGTCAATCACAACGGCGTCCCGCACGAAGAAGGGCAGGTTCCCAATTGTGATTCTGGTAGCGCTTCTCCTGAAGGGGAAGGTCCTTAGGAGGGTTCCCTCAACCTCGAGGCCTTCCCGGATTAGTTGTTCCGCCATGGATCTGCTGGTGAGGCCCACCAGGTACTGGCCGTTCACTTTGGAGAATTGAATGATGTTTTTTGTTCCTCCAACAATACCTCCAATAGCCCTGAGGTATTGGTAAGTCTCGTAGCCAGGGCAGTACTCCAAGAAGAAGCACTGCTCCTCGGTACAGGTCGCCTGGCGAGCCCTGGCCTCCGCGATGTGCGTCCTCGTGGTCCTGATCCCCTGGACTCGAGGAATGAGTGCAGGCGAGGATCTTTGTTGCCTGGCTGCCGTTCCAGCACTGTTGGGCTGTGCGGTCGTGACGCGCGGTGCTGCTGTGTCGCGGCGTTTTCTTTTATTTTGAACGATGGTATAATCGTCTTCAGTTACAGGATTTTGATCCATAGGTAAGGTTTTCCGTTTCTGTTGACCTAGAATTACGCCAGAAGAAGGCAACGCAGTTGCAGAATCGCGCGTAGTGGCGGAATTTGCATGTCTTTCGCCAGTAGGCAAATTTGCATAACTGGCCATTTCTTGCATTTCTTCCGAGTTTTGTCACTGGAAATAGTTTTCCGCAGATAACTCTGCTGAGGTTTGTGGTATCAGGCCGTACCTTGCAGGTAATTCATCGGCGTTGAATGGGCTATCCGCCCATACCAAATTTGTCGCTTCCAGCGACAATTTTCCGCTTTTTAAAGGCGAAAACGGCGGAGCTCGAAAAAGCGCGGCCGCACGCCCGAGTGTGTGTGTGTGTGACAATTTTTGACAATTGAAAATAGTTTATTGTCTTCTAGACAATGTTACGTCTCAACCAGGAGGGTGAAAAAGAAATATTTACATTTGACAGTTGTCAGGAATCAAGGCATCGCCGCCTAAGACTGGCCAAATCGGAGCTAACATCGGGATGTTTGCCCCGAGCCGGTTCTATGGCCGCGCTGAGGAACTCAGCGAGGACTCCCCTCATCGCAGGTGTCAGTCTCGCCATGAGGGACTCTCTTTCATCGATGAAGAGAATGGCATCCTTGAGGTCATTCGGTTGGATCCCTGATTGATATAAGGGCCTTAGGCAGGTTAAGTGCTTCAGTTTCTTGTAGATTTCAATAACCATACACTCCTCCCTCATGATCGGCGTCATCTCCTCCTCGTCGGGAGCAGGTGGTATCGGCCCGGCAGGCTGAGGCGCGGGCAGTGGGGGTGTTGGAGGCACTGCGGCTGGCGAGGTCTTGAGCGCCGCCCTAAATGTCGATGTCTCCTCGATTGACATCTCAACGTCCAGTGTAGGGACTGCAGGCCCGTGACTCCCAGGAGCCCGCAGGGACGGAGCAGGGGCGACAGGTGGAGGGGCAGGAGGCGCCATCTCCGTAGGTATGGCCGGGGCCACTGGTGGTGATTGCCGGGGTGCTGCAGGTGGAAGCGCAGCTCGGCTTGTGGAGGGCACTTCGGAGACCTCCATGGCTGGACTGGGGGACGCCGGTGGTGGAGGCTGGGCGGATGGCTGCTGAGGCAGGCCAGGCGCAGACGCTGAAGGGACGCTGGTGGGAGAGGTAGGTGTGGCCGGTCCAGGAGCGTTGGTTCGCCCCGCAAGCAGGGGGCAGTTGGCCCGGCGATGTCCTTGGCCTCGGCACCTGGAGCATCTAATCCCGGAGGATAGGTATGCGGGCCAGGCCTCGCCTTTGATGGTGATGTTGAGACGGGTGGGCAGTCCCTCGATGGTCATTCCTTCGCGGAGGATGATGAACGCCTCTCGGCGGCCGTCGTTATAGGTGTATGGGCCCGCTTTCATCAGCTTGGGGGCGATGGATGTAACTCGCCCAAGAGGTGTAAGGGCGCTGATGACGGCTGCATCCCCCACGAAGAAGAGGAGGTTGCCCACCGTTATTCCTTCCGCCCTCTTGCGGAACGGGAAGACCCTGTGGAGTGTCCCCTCCACCTCGAGGCCTTCGTTGACGAGGCGCTCGGCCATGCCTCTGTTTGCCAGTCCCACCAGGAAGTGGCCGTTCATCTTGGTCACTTGGAAGACCTCCCTGGTGCTCCCAAACATTCGATCCATGGCCCTCATGTAATGGTAGGGCTTCAGTTCAGGGCTGCGCTCTACGTAGACGCAGTGGTCTTCTGTTGAGGACGCCTGCCGCGCCCTGGCCTCCACGATGTGCGCTCGGGTAGTCCTGACTTCCTGGGCGCGCGGCGCCCATCCTGCCGAAGATTGCGGACGGCGGTTAGTTCTGGCACCTCCTAAATTGGAAGAAGGTGCGGCCGCTGGAGACGAATTCGCCGAGCCGCGACGTCTCTTTCTTTTCTGGACAATGGTGAAGTTGCCCTCATATTCGGAGTTGCTATCCTCCGTTAATTCTGCCCAGTTTCTATGGGCTTGGGCAGCAGCCTCAGAGGAAGAAGCAGCGGCAAAGTCGGTCGGCGCGGCCGGATTTGCATCCTTGCCGCCGGTAGCCGGATTTGCATATCTTTGATTCTTCGTCGATTTCATTGAAGAATTGAACTTCAAAGCGTTTCTCGCTGGTAACTCCGCACTGGGCTGTGCTTTTGAGCCGAGCCTTGCAGGCTTTTCCTCGGCTTTTGAAGGGCTTTCAGCCCGTGCCAAACTCGGCGTATTGCCGGAACTCATACATCCGCCAGAGGCAAAATACGTGGAGCTCGCGCGACGCGTGGCCGCACGGCCGAGTGTGTGTGTGTGTGTGCAGTCGCAATCATTAGCGAACACATATGTTTGCCTAATATTTCCATATGCTCTTTTATTTTTTTACAGAAAAATATTTATAATACATTTCTATTATAGGTTGAATATTAATAGTGAAAGTTATTTTATAAGAAATTGCACTTTATATATATTTAGATATATTTAAAGATAAATGAAAGATACACCATTTTTATGCTACAATAATTATTTTATTCTTTTTTACCATTCTTGCACACGTGCACATTATATAACGAACATTTTGTTGTCTACAAGATGATGATAAAAATGTTCGATTCGTTTCGAATCAAAACAGAGTAAAGTAATAATATATCACTGATATATTATCTTTAAACAAAACAGATCAATTTACATGCCAGTATTTTGGATTAATTTTTTTTTATAAACCTATTTTTTTAATTCTTACTGAGAAGATGGGCATCGCAGTCAGGATTCTTTACAGTCAGTCACTCAACTCAGGCAATTTCAAAGGTTAATGGGGGTTTGGTGGAAAAGCTGCCGTCTATTTAAACTATATTAGTTTTGAAA